CAATGAGGCCGCATATGCAAACGACCTCTGTGTTCCGAGGCAAAGGCGAATCAGGCCACATATGCAAATGACCTCTGTGTTCTGACTGGCTGTGGGGGGGGGAGAGGAACAGCAAACTGTTTAGAATGTTGGAGACAGGACTCAGGCAAAGCAGCCAGTGGATAGGGAGACCCTCTGAATGATAGATCAGAGAGCGAACTGATTTTGGAGCGTGTTTGAATGTTCAGGAGAGTCCATGACCTAAATAGAATTATATATACTGGAGGACTAGCCTGCTACCCATGCTTCATTATGGTATTTAAGTTATGTAAATCCAGTTATAATACCGATTATGTGAAGTTTGAAATGTGACAGTTGCTGTAGGAATTCTAACAGAGAAGATTGTAGTGTAAGAAATTATTATTATTATTATTTATTAAATTTATATCCCACCCTCTCCGCCGTGGTGGGCTCCTCCTTGTAGCATTGGTGTATCTGGCTCGACGTTTGCCAGGAGCTTTCTTGGGGGCAGTAGGAGGTGAGAGGTGTGAGGGGGAGTTGGTGTGGTGATGTGGTGGACATTTCTTCAGGTTCATGAGGGAGGCACGCATCGAAATGGCTCCTAGAAATGTCCTTTACTATCTCCCCATAAACATTCATACCCTGGCCTTGCTCCTACACCTGACAGACTCCAGTCTGTCTGGTGTTGGGGGGGATTGTATTTAGAGGCATCAGGGAGGCTGGGCCAGCAGCAGTGCTAAGGCAATCCTGCTGAGCAAACCTCCCCGGCGGCTGTAAGAATCCCACCTCCTCTCCTAGACCTGACAGGCAGCTGCCTGTCCAGTGTAGGACAGGGAGAGGGGAGGAGTATTAGAAGCAACTGTGGAGGCAGGGTTGGCAGGATCACTAAGGCGTTACTGCTGAGACAGGCTCCTTCATGGCTTTAAGCACCCTGCAATCACTGCTGCACCTGACAGACAACCACCTGTTAGGTGTAGGAGGTTGGGGAGAGTGTGTTGGAAGCCTTCCCACCTCCTCTCCTACACCTGACAGGCATTGTGTTAAGCAGGATCCAGGTTTATTTACACAATTATTAAAAGCATTAATGAGGAACGTGACATTTTGTCGTATCTCCTGCTGCTTCTCCCCCTACAGGAACAGTAAAAACTCACGGCAGAAGACTGAAGTTTAAAGACAGCTCTCATAATATGTCAGTGCCCTGACATTACTCTGTGTATTAGCAAAGCTGGTTGCTGCTTGCATACGTGTCTTGCATCAAAACATGACCAAGATGGTAGGAGTGGTCCCTGCTGCCCGTATGTGTATACGAGTGCAGCAACAAGGTACGCAGCAAAACCTTGACTAAAAACAAAAACCCCACAAAATGCCAGAAACTCCAATTTTTGTGCTGTGCATCTGTAGTTGGAGGACTCTTTGGCACAGCAACTACAGCTGAAGACAGTGTGCAGACACGGATTGGTGCAGTGTCTGGGGCAGGGGTGCCTGCAGGGATGAACACTGGGATTATGGCATTACTTCCAGTGTGTACTTGGAAGGGATGTCATGAAGCCATAGGCATTTGCTGGGATTACGACATTACTACCAGTGTGTACCTGGAAGGGATGTCATGAAGCCATAGGCATTTGCTCATATCCATGGCTTTTTACCATAGAGGTGTGCAAATTCCTGGATGTCATGACATCATTTCTGGTTCAAACTGGAAGTGACATCATGACATTGTGCTTTCACTTGCCCCTTATTCCTACTGGAGAGAAGAGGCCTTGGTGGGGCCTAGAGCCTGGGGACAGGAACTTGTCTGCACTGGAGAGGATGGAAGCCTTAGTTGGTGGGGGGGGGGGAGGCACTCAGCCAAATAAATCTGTTAGTCTAAATTGCCACAATAATTTTTTTAGGTCTTTAAGGTGACAGAGGACCACCCCTCTGGAAATGAGCAGAATGTTAAACTAGTGCAGTCCATGTGAGTCAAACTGTTGTTTGTTATCTCCTAAAAAGGTTGCTGCTTTGGGGGGGCAATGTTTTATGAAACTGCAAATGCTATTATGCAAACACATGGGAGTCCACATATCCACATACAAAGGAATAAGGTTCAATTCTGGAGGGAAGAACAGAAACACGGGGACTTCCTTCTGCGTAAATGTGTATAGTATTTGGGCTATAACTTGGTTAACATTAATTATCTTCTGTTTGGCAGGTGACTTTTTACCATAGGCTTCATTTTGTTTGGGCAGCCAGCCACTGACATCTCTTCCAGAAAAATGAACAGGGTTTCAGACTACTGAGCTTTTGTTCGACAGTGCCTTTTATTTCAAAGTAAGCTTACTTTTATCTCTGCAACTGTGCAGTCCACTCGTATCTGTTTATTTTAAAGAGAAGTCTCATTGTGTAGAGTGGACTTGCACCCAGTAAAGTACACCTCAGAATGCAGCCGAACGCATACGTGCACAGAAGTTCCATTTAATTCAATGGGCCTTACTGCCATGTAAGTAGCAGCACTGTTAGGAAAAGTTCTCTTAATTCCTCTTTACCTCATGCTGGAATACAACAATCAACTTATTTTCCTCTTTTTAGGAATCTGGAGCCTAGTTTGAATCAAATTCGTTTTTGTTACA